TCGAGGACTATGCCGTGGCGCGTTTCAGCAAGGATTTCATCCTAACGAGCGGCGCGAAGCGCAGAACGCCCGATGCCAGCGACGAGCCTATCACACGCATTATCGCATGCTGCAGTTCGCTAACTTCTACGGGTAACATCCCGGCGAGAATTAAGAAAGTACTGATGGAGACTTGCCGGCCTGCACCTTCGTCGTCCTCGAAGAGCGAAGCGAGTGACTCGGACGACGATGAGTCTGGAAGCGGACTCTGAGGAAGACGAGTCCGATGACGACGGCTATGGTTCAGAGTAGTCCTGGCGCCTAGCAGGGACTAGATTGATGTCGAGACCGGGGCGTTCTGGGGATCAAGAAGATTTGTACTAGCGGTTTTGCGCCGTAAGATGGTCGACATTTGTCAACTTCGAGCTCTGTACCCAAATCTTGTCGTAGGGGCTGTGGGTCTTTCCATCATAGTAACATAAACTTCGAAGTGCCGTGTGCTCAGATTTTTATTTTTTGCTGGTGCGTCAGGGAATCTATCGAATTTGACCGGAAAACACGCGTAAGAACTCGTAAGAAATCTGTGTCTGCCCGGGGGATAGGGGGGGTGGGGGTGTTGAACCAGGTGCGGTTTGGGGTCCTTGGCGGCGGAACTATCATGATTTTCGGCGTTGCCGATGGTGTTATCTCGGGCGAAAGGGCGTATGTTCGATTTGGAAGACGCCCGAGGATGTTTTTAGTTGGAGCGAAAATAAATTATTTGGCACTTTTGGTGCGCCAACCTGCCCAAACATTTTCTCATTAATTCTTTTTTTCTCAAGAAGTATAATCTGATGTTTCTTGGTTGAGATATCGGGTGTTAGCGAAGTTTTCATTGAGAAACTGTTGCGAGCAGGGTGGATGTCAGATATACTTGCAGCAGTGTCTGGTCGTATCGATCCCAGGGGGATACGTGTTGGGAATTTCGTGTGTTGAAGGGTACCACCGGCGCAGTCACGGGAACCCTTTGGGCGTGGTCGGTGCGATGATGAGGCTTGCGTGCGTGCTGCGCTCTTCTTGTTGTTGTTCTTCTTCCCTCTCTCTCCACCACCACCACCGTCTCTCTCCAATCAAGTTTCCTTCTCCCACTCTCTCTCCAACTCTCTCTCAACCTCTCTCTCTCGGCCTAACACGGCCGACTACCCAGTGCCCCAGAGCAACGTCCAAAACGTGCTTGCTGCACCCCGCGTAGTTTACCTTTGAACATACATACATAAAGTAGTATAGCATACAGCAGGGAGGGAAACAAGGCGCAACAACATCAGCCGGGTGTCAGGAAAATCGTGCGTCGAGACCACCAGTAGTCGGACACGGTTTGACCTTTGAATACGATTGCAGCAAATAGTCTGCGTAGCAGTAGAAAAGAATCCATCTCTCCGTGGCGTGTATTCTCTTGTTCTAGAAATATTCCGGAAGCATGCTAGGTCAAGGTTGACCTAAACATCTACGTAGAACGTGTGTAGCTTTTGGAAGCCTTCTAGAAAC